TTGTTGGTGCTGTTCTCATATTGTTCTCATACTGTTCCCCTGCCACTGAGAGTACACTTTGGATGGTTCTGCAGAGAACAGCAGGTTTATTCTCCTGCTTTCTATTTCTCTGGTGTACCTTGTCAAGTGGCTGGCCAAGGCTGTGAATCTTTGCTTGGCAGTTTCCAAGGCCTCCAGTATGGACAGCTTGCTGTGCGTCTTAGGCACCTTCTTGATTGCACCTCTCTGCAGCTCTGATACTTGAGCCCCCTGACATGTTGTCCAGGCTCCCCCTTGCCATAACATTTGTTTTGTACCTTGTCAATCTCTAGCTGTGAGAGCAGTTCCTTCTTCTGAATGTTGAAACAGTGAGCTCCTAGCTGTTTCGATATCAACAGCGCCCTATTTTCTTATGCCATCTTGTTCCAGTAGCCCACTTCTCATCAAGGTGTCCTGGTTTCTCAACACCTGACGTGCACCTTGTTTTGTGTGTGTGTGTGTGTGTGTGTGTGTGCGCGCAAAACACTGGGTCAAGGACAATGACAAATATTCAGGCTTGAATTTCAGTTTCCCTGTCAATAAAATAAAGAACAAAGTCAAAGCCAAATTATTTTAGATTAATTTCAAATTGTTTCCAAATTATTTTAGTATCAACATCAACTTCAACTGAACAACTAAAGTTCTGAACAACTTAAGAAGACGTAATAAGAAAAAGAGATAAAAAGTATTTTTAAAACTCCTGTCCTATCCGAATTGTGATCTGAATGCATTATGGTGCCAAACACCTTTTGCTATTGCACAAACAGCTAGAGTGTCTATGGGTCCATCCTCTTCATGTGAATCTTTAATCTATTTATTTATTCATTTTAATTTGTTTTATTTCAGCTATTACATTGTATGTGGTGTAGTATGATGATGTATACAGCAAGACAGGCAAGAGAAATAAACAAAAATAAAACCAACCAAAAAGGAGGAGGTAGGGGATAGAAGAAAAGGATAGAATACAAATAGAAATACAAAGAGGTGACAAGTCTAAGATATTAGATGTTAAGATAAGAAGGGAAGAGTGCATGATCAGTGCTTTTTACTACACTGTTCTACTTGAGGTATGGTTTAAGGGTTAAGATGTAGTTTTGCACAAAATAATACTAATAAAACACGAGAGTCTGCACGCAGGAAACACAGTGGTACAAACAGTTTGATTCATTCTCTTACTTAATATTCTAACTTAACTTAATATTCTTGTAAACAATCAAGCCTGTTTCAAACCTCACAATTGCTGTGCAGCCCTCCCGTATAATGTTTTAGTTTAAATTTGACAGGTATACGGCTCTTACTTGGCTGGCCAGTGTTAGGTTTATGGTCAACACTTAAGACCATCTTTAGATCAATACTTTAGATTAACATTAGTTTGTGAAAAGACGATGCCTTGAACTTTCATATTACTTAATTCCACATTAATATGCGGAAATAATTATTTTCATATGTTGAATTAAGTCTGTCTTAATGCTTCTTAGAGTTTAGCTATTATAAGGTGTGATCAGTGTTTCAGCAACCAGCTGGGGATTTTCATCCAACTCTTTTACTAACTAGACTGAAACTCAATCAATACGTTTCTGCTTTGCAATTTGCCTGGCTTATTGTCACTTATCCTGATATGCAGCATTCTCTCTTCCTCCTATCCTATGTTAACTTCCTCCTTCACTCCCTACTGCCTTTATGGTGATCAAGGAAAGTGTTCCCCCTAGGCCTCCCCTTCCCAAATCCTATTACCCATTGGATCCCTCCTATACCTTTCCTCCCTCCATCCCTCCCCTGCCTTTTGACAGCACAACCTGGCCACACAGCTTCGGCATCGATGTTGATTACCTTGGTGGTGAAGATTCTGACTTCAGAAAGGTAATTGGGTGTTTCTGCTGGTATACTCTCTTTCATTAGAGAAAGAAATAAAACGTGAGCCAACCTTGGTGCATCACATTTGTAGAAGTCATTTGTACTTGAAGAGGACATTTTGATCAGCACTGTCACTTCAGTTGGCAGCTGGTCAGCTGCACAGTAAAGGTATAGTACTGTTAAAGAATGGGTTACTGCAATTCCTTTAAAATAAGAAGACTTTTTCAACCATAGTGTGATTGTATCATTGGGGATTCTTCAGGTGTACCAGCTGTTTCTTCCATTACAAGGCATTATCTAATGCATTCTTGAGTTTTTTGAACAGTATTAGAATCGTTCACTACCTTCAGGTTCAGTGCTGACAAAATAAAAATATCTCTGCATTGCAGCCCAAGTTTGGAGAATTGAACAATATCAGTGATGTTCAGGAGCAGGCCCAGGACAGGCAGTCCACCATGAATAAAGGTACAACAGTTTAATATCAAGATTTAAAAATGGCAATAACAATGACAACAATAACTTGGGTATGCAGAACCCAGAGATACATTCTTTAAGGTGCTTATAATAGCAAGTTAACGATAAAAATTCAGTATTCTGTCTTTTGACGTCTGATTGCATGAATTAATCAAGTGACACTTTAAAGACTGACTCATAGTGTTATGTTTGAGAATACAGACATGTTTTTTTTGGCCTGTACTTATAAATGTATTTATTTTTTCACATGCCAGTTGGCATTGTTCCTCCTAGAACCAAATCCCCCACTGATGAATCACAGAGGAACTTTCCTGAAGTTCATCGCCGTAACAGCAGAGTGCTTAATGGAGTCTCCAGGGTATGTCAACCCACTCTGGTTTGGAGAGAAAAAATATAAGCCTTAATAAACAACAAACAATAATAAACAATCAACAGGTTAGTGGAACTGAGAAACATGTGAAATGGGTCATATTCACAACATTAGACATGAATGCACATAAGAGGTTGTAACGTGGGTTGTACTCAGTGGTTGAGAGG